TGAGGCGAATGAACATAACCTCTAGAAACGAAGAGCCAAAATAACATGAAGGTTGGAGGTTGACGATTGAGAAACAAAAGGTGAATAGAAACGTCGCATACAGTGATACCAACACGGGCAAAACTCCCCGTCAGGCAGAAAACCTTCCCTCGGGAATTTTAGAACCAGCAGCCACCCGTCCACAAAGAACCATTATGCAAGACGGCGTTATCTAACCTTTTAGAAAACGTTGTATAACTTAGAAAACGAGAACTGTATTCGTCGTCGGGAGCTCCAGCTGTCGTCGCGTCCACCTGACTGCGTGATCTATCTCCTCTGCGGCCGGAGATCTGCTGTCGTTGTTGTTTTTTTTTATTTTGTTGAAAGGGATCCGTGTATCGTATTGTGACGTAGGGGATGAGGGGAGCGTGGGGAGGGGGGGGGCACGAAGGCTGGTACGTGGAGTGGTGTTGATGGCTTTAATTTTCTTTCATTACGAGGGTTATTTTTGTGTTGTTTGTATTCGTTATTATAGTAATTATTGTTGCTATTAATGCGATAAATATGATGATTATGATAATAATGATTATTGTTATTATTATTATTATTATTATTATTATTATTATTTATTATTATTATATTATTATTATTATTATCACCATCAATGTATTATTGTTGTCAGCATTGATATACGAGAGAAGAATGATCAGCTGTTTGTTCGTTTGTTTGTCTGATTGCATATTTGTTTGACCTGGAGATGGCTTGCGTGCGCACTCTGATAACGAGACGCTCGCTTGCTTTATTGTCTTTTGGTTTCTTCCATATTTTTGTTGTTGTTTTTGTTGTTGTTTATATAAGGATAATTTGGGCTAATGCGGTTTTGGAGGTTTGTGTGACTCACTCTTTGGGGGGGGGGGGCATAAAGGGAAACGTTGGGACGAAGAGAGGTAGGGAGGGAGAGGGAGAGGGAGAGGGAGAGGGAGGGAGATAGGGAGCGGGAGAGAAAGAGAGAGAGAGAGAGGGGGGGGGGGAGTGAGACAGACAGACAGGCAGATAGATAGATAGATAGATATATAGATAGATACAGACAGTGGAAAGGGAAGAGAATTAGAAACAAAGACAGAGAGATATTAAAATAGAAGGGAAGTGCGAATAATGCACGAGGTAATCTCTTCAACGATAAGGAAATACAAGAGTAAAAAAAAAGTGAAATTAATTGGCAACTCCCACGCACATTAAATGCCAGGTAACTAATCGGAAGCCAAGAAATCAGTAAATAAATAGCAGGTGTCAGACAGGTGTTACGGCGCAAGGTCATAATGGGTTCTTGGTTGCCATTAGTTATTCACATCATCATTGCATTGATTTTTTTTCTTCTTTTTATTAATGGCATTGTTATTTTGAGTTAATTTTATTTCCTATTGATGTTATTGTCATTTTGATTTGTTGTTGAATTATTATATTTTCTGGAGGAGTTGGGGAAAGTTGTGATGTGTCGTTCATCCTTGGAGTGTGTGTTGTTTTTGCTTTTATTTATTTATTGTTTGTGCAGTAGGTAGTGTGTATTATCATAGAGGGAGTGAGTATGAGTGTGTGTGTGTGAGTGAGTGAGTGAGTGAGTGAGTGAGTGGGTGAGTGAGTGAAGGAGTGGGTGAGTGAGTGAAGGAGTGAAGGAGTGGTGGGTGAGTGAGTGTGTGTGTGTGTGTGTGTGTGTGTGTGTGTGTGTGTTTGTGTGTGTGTATGTGTGTGTGTGTGTGTGTGTGTGTGTGTGTGTGTGAGTGAAGAGTGGTGAGTGAGTGTGAGTGAGTGAGTGAGTGAGTGAGTGAGTGTGTGTGTGTGTACACATGAGTAAAATAAAGACCTCACATAACCTCAGCGGAGAAAGCGTCTATAATCCCCCGTGAGATGACCAGGGAATGGGGAAGGAGAGAAGGGCCGATGAAGGGAGAGAAGCAACTGATAAATCTGCACACAATAGCCCAGCCGTAAACATGGCGGCGCCCGATACACGTCATGGCAGATCTCCATAAATTGCCCGTCAGGCCCACCCAGCCTCCTCGAGGGCTCTTGTCTTGGGTGCGATTACTCTCGGAATCCGCTAATCCACCTCCGCTCGACTGGTCGTAAATCCGCGGAAGCCCTTTTCTTCTTCTTCTTCGTCTTCTTATTCTCTTTCTTTATTTTTTCTTCTGTTTCTTTCTTCTTCTCTCACTTCCTCCTGCTTTGCCTCCTCCTCCTCCTTCTCTCTTTTTTCTTCTTCTATCGTCTTCCTTTTCGTCTCTGTGAAAATAGAAGAAAAGATGATGTTCCGTTGATGTCTTTAGTCTATTTTTTCGTTACGTTTTCCACTTCCATTTCGTATTCAGCAATTTAGTTTCCGCCCCGCAGGACAAAAAGCACGCGGAGAACTTGCCCGAGCTGCGATTTATAACATGTGGGAGACGTGTTGCTATGTCAGAGGGGGATTCGCTGTCCTGGGCGCGATGCCGAGTCGGTGTTGATCACGGCGCTTGTTCGGAGGTGTGAGTCCACATTTATGAGGCGGGGAGCGGTTGAGGGAGAGATTTCAGGGCTTTGTTTTGCCACTGGAGACTCTTGGGGTGTTTGTTTGTGTGTGGGTGGCGTTGGTTGGATGAGAGAGAGAGGGAAGAAGGGATAATGAGAGGGAGAGTGAGAGAGGAGGATGAAGGGAAGGCTGGAGAGGAGGAGAAGGGAAGGTAGTGAGAGAAAGAGGAGAAGTGAAGGTAATGAAAGAAAGAGGAAGAGACGTGGGGAAGGTATTGAGAGATAGAGAGAGGGGAAGAGAGGAAAGTAAGGCTAGGGAGGAAGAGAAGGAAAAGGATGAGAAAGAGAGGGAGAGGAGAGAGGTAGGGAAGTTAGAAAGGAAGACAAAAAGAAAAGGACTGAAAAAGGGAGATGATTGAAATTCCACGCCTCTAATCTCGTAAAAGTTAATCCTTAAAGATTTTGAAAGACACGCCAGACAAGTAAACACCATCTTTAACCGGCGTCACAGTCACCGCACGCCCGCAAAATCTTTGAGCGACGATAGACACCCGAGGTCGTCAGAGCCCCTTGAGCCTAACGCGGCCCCGACGTGGTTGCCGATGACACCCGACGGAGGAGAGAAAGCGCCTGTCACGCGAAAATGACAGGACATGTGACGTCGCGATGACAGGGGAGGGGAAACAAGCAAAGGATAATAGTAGACAAGAGCTGTTCCTCGCGTCCTGGGCTGCTTGACAGCTTGATTGACAGCTTGCGTGACAGCTTGCTTGATGGGATGGGGGTGGGGTGAAGAGAGCGTGTTCACGAGCCCCAGCGCCGAGCTCAGAGATCTTGAGATGCCACGCGCGCTCCTTGCCAGGCTGTCGGGAGTTGCGAGTTACGAAGGGGGGGAGAGGGGTAGAGGGAAAGGGAGGGGAGGGGGGAGAACAGGCGTGGTGTTGAATAATACTCTGGGCGATGTAGGAGGGAGGAAGGAGGAGAGGGATTGGGTGAGAGTCAGAGGAGGAGTGGGAAGGAGGAGAAAGGGAGGAAGGAGGAAGGAAGGAAGGGAGGAAGAAGAAGATGGAGAAGGAGAATGTAAGGGAGTGAAAAGGAGGAAAGACAGGAGGAAGACACGACGGAGAGATGAAGGAGAAAAATAGGGAACAGTGGAAGGTGTTTAAGAGCAGAGGGAAGATGGGAGGGAGAAATAGTAAGTAACAGAAAAAGAGAGGGGGAGGGAGGGCTTTTAGAGAGGTTGCATGATGGTGAATAATGCCTCAAGCACAGCAAATGAGAGGGAGAGGGAAGAGGGAGGGAGAGAGTTGTGGCTCGACCTACATATCGTTCATTATCAAGTTCGAGCAAGCGAGTTTCACATTTCCTCGGGCGTAGAATATAATTTTCGCCTCCAGCAACTCCCACTCGGACAATTTGCGGCGAGAACTCTCTTCCGATGCCGTGGCCTTGCTCGTCGACCTCGCCGGGTGCGGAGACTGACCTTATTTGCAAGCTTGCCCCGGAGGAGGAGAAGGAATTTTAAAACATTTTCGCCAGAGCGTGCTTGCGAAAGGTAACTTTATTCGCGGTTATGTAGAGCGCGGAGGTTCTCTCATTCACAATTATGCAGAGCAGGGGAGGACTGCGCCATCAATTCCCCGAACTGAAGGAAAAATGCCTCGTTCATGGCCTCCTCGCCTGGGGGCTAGAAGCGTCATCTGTCGGGATAAATTGCCTGCAAGGCGCCCCCGAGATTTTGGATTCTGCAATATGAGTCGTAAAGCATCGCCGTAATAGATTCGAGCCGCAGTAAAGCTGGGGAAAGGGTGGGGAGGGGAAGGAGGTAGGGGAGGAGGATTTGTGTGGTTGAGGCTAGTAGGGGTGGGGTAGGAGGAGGGGGGTAGCATAAATCCGATTTGAAGGATGGTTGTTCTACTCTTGCCTTGCGTCCTTTTGGTTTCTTGCTTTTCCAAATGTTTTTTTTTTTCTTTTTCTTTTTTGGTGTTTAGTTTTTTGTTGGTGTCTCATTTCTTTCCAGTTAGGGGAAGGGGTATTTTTATGTTACGTATTTAGTTTTCTTCTTTCTCTTTATTTTTTTATTTTTTTTCTCCGCGCTCATTATTATATATTTAAAGGAGTAGTGACAATAGGAAAGACACAGATATTGGGAGATAATGACTGGTTGTAAATGTGTAGATTTTTTAAAATTGTAGAAGACTTTACGGAGGTAGGCTTCCGTTGAAGAGTCGGGCGATATTTTGTGTCATGACCTTGCGTCCGTTTTCTCTCATTCGTGCGTTAATGAAGACCGTTGTAGTGAAATGTGGGTTTCTTGACCGTAGAGTTTATTCGCGGTGAAATATTTTTAGCGTCGCCCGTTTCATGCTCGTGGCAGTGGTCGCTATAAATATGTGCGTGCGTGTTCTGTGCGCATTCATCGTTGTGTGAATTTGGAATAAGCGCTAATAATTTGGGACTTGATGAAGAGGAGGATATGGATGATAATCTTGTTCTTATTTTTGGAAATCTTTAAGGGCTTGATTCCAATGCACTGAATATTCAGCGTGAAGTAATCTGAAAAGAGACGTGGAAGTTGAACTCTGACATAAAGCCGCCAGACCCGAAATGCGTGGCGCGATAGTGAGTGACGTGAGTGACAAGTGACTGTCGGAGCCGCGTGCGAGGCGACCGCCGAGTGTGCAGCGCGGGCGGGCGGGCGTGCAGTGTCCCTGCGGGCGGGGTGAGAGGAGCCTCCCAGATGAATGGTGAAGATACGGAGCGTCGACGGGCCGAGGGGGTCCCCGCCGCCACTGGGACCCCGCGGCGGCCCCCCAGATAGGGCCGCCCGGGGCCGCAGCGCGCCGGGGGAGCACAAGGACCGTGCTGCGACACCGCGCAGGAAGTGCCAGCTGGTGAGCGTGAAGGAAGAGGAGGAGGAGGAGGATGGGGAGATCCTGCTCAGGAAGGACGGGGATCCCGACGAGCGGTGCGACCCCAAGAAGATCGAGGGATGCGAGGCCGTCCACAAGGCAGGCGTGAGGGGCGAGGGGAAGGTCTCCGAGGAGGGCGAAGGCAAACTCGAGGGCGCGGAGGTCGTCGGACCCTCGTCGACGTCATGGCTGTCGTCCGACACGCTGTGCCTGCTGTTCTGCTGCAAGCGGGAGCCCCAGGAGGAGAGGCAGGAGGAGCAGGAGGGCACGGAGATGGCCGTGTACCGGGTGGCCTGCGGGATCCACCGGGGCCGACACCTGGTGCAGGCGCTCCTCATCCAGGCCGGTGAGTCTCTCTTTTGTCCTTCACAGGCTGCCTTCCGCGCTCGGTCCTCGGACGCTAAGGATCGGCGGGGGATTTTCTCTATCTAGGGTGAGATGGGATGGGGGGGGGATCTGGGATTTGATTCACCGGCGAAGGATTCTTTTCTCTCGCAGCGGATGCTGGGGTGAAGGGATGTCTGTGTGTCTACTCATGGAGGGAACTTTATGCTTTATGTAAAGGTAGCAGAATGCACGTCATCCTTTCGTTCTCTTGTTGGTATTCCTTCGACTTTGAATTCCCTCGGATATCTCCTATCTTTCTCTCTCCCTCCTCTCCCTCTGTTCCTCCTGCCCTCCGTCCTCTCTCTCCCTCCCTCCCTCTTCATCCTCCTCCTGATCTTCCCTTTCTCTTACTTTTTTCTCTTCTTTGTTTTTGTCTCCCTCCTTCCTCTCTCTTTCTGTTTCTCCCCACCCTCTCCCTTTGTATATGGAGGTCATATCGCAGCAGCCAGTACCCACCCCTCCCGTCGTGACGTCACGGCAACGATCCACCTCCCCGTGACCAATAGGAGGAGAAGAAAGCTCCGTGATTAGCCAATAGCTTACGTTCCAATCCCCGCCGCTCGCCCTTGCTTTACGTTGATGTGTTTTGCGCGCTGATTGGGGGCTGGGGTTGACCTTGCAATTTGAGGGGTCGGTTAGGGGGTGTTTGGGGGTGTGGGGGAGAGGGGAGGGGAGGAGAGAGAGTATGAGGAGGGGAGGGGATGTCTTAATTGCGTTTAATGGCATAAGATGGGGGGTTAGAAGGGGAGGAGGAAAGGAAAGAGGAAGAGGAAAAGGAAGAAGAGGAGAAGGAAAGAGGAAGAGGAAGGGGAAGGAAGGGGAAGGGAAGGGAAGGGAAGACGGAGAAATTCAATTGGAATTGGAGAATGTGAGAAATTGGAAAATAATGACATGGAGTCTTGAAAGGAAGGAGGAAGAAGGGAGTGATGTAAGCAGGTATGAAGTAAAAGATAATAGTAGAAAGGGGGATAGGCATAAAGGGGGGGGGGAGAGTCAGCTGGGAAGAAAGTTGACCTGCAGCGTCTTAAGTATTACTTTGTCCTTGACCTGCGTTAAGGAGGGGGGGGCGAGAGAATGAAGGAAGAGAGAGGAAGGGAGGAGAGAGGGAGGAGGAGGAGAAAGAGAGATAGATAAATAGGTAGATAGGTATATGGATGGCTTGATGGATGGATTGATGGATGAAGAACATAGATGAAGATGAGGATGGTGAAGACAGAGGCAAGTAAGAAGAGGAAGAAGAGAGAGGAGAGAGAGACATGAGGGACCGAACTAGTATTATTGTTCCAGTATCGTATATCGACCTTGTATTTTGTAAAGAATCGCCAGTTGCCGTGCACGGGTCGACCTGCAGGACTGAAGATTGAATGCCGTGCCTTATTTGTTGCAAAAGAAAGACTCCTCATAGAATAAATTTCTCGGCCAGTGCAACAGGGGTTTCGATTCCTCGCAATATTTATCCCCTTTTTGCGATGTTAAAAGAGAGAGAGAGAGAGAGAGAGAGAGAGAGAGAGAGAGAGAGAGAGAGAGAGAGAGAGAGAGAGAGAGAGAGAGAGAGAGAGAGAGAGAGAGAGAGAGAGAGAGAGAGAGAGAGAGAGAGAGGAGGGCCATTTACGGTCTCGAAAAAAAAAACACGAAATATTTCGAAATTAGTCTTATAAGTGATCATGATAACCCAATGACACTCTGACGCGAAATTGCCTCTCCGTGCTAATCGTTGCTAATGGGGAAATTAGTTGCGAATATTGAGGCTGGTTTGATGCGCCTCGGTGGGTCATCGCTCCCCGGCTGCTGATGAGCTTGTTTTATGCAATTTCTGATTGCTTTTTGCCGTTCCTTGTAGCTTTCTTTTTTTTTCTTTCTGTGATTACCGCTGTGTCTGTCTGTCTCTCTCTGTCTCTCTCTCTCTCTGTCTCTCTCTCTCTCTCTCTCTCTCGCTTCTCTCTCTCTCTCTCTCTCTCTCTCTCTCTCTCTCTCTCTCTCTATCTCTCTCTCTCTCTCTCTCTCTCTCCTCCTCTCTCTCTCTCTCTCTCTCTCTCTGGTCTCTCTTCTCTCTCTCTCGTCTCTCTCTCCCTCTCTCCCTCTCTCCTCTCCCTCCCTCTTCCCTCCCTCCCGTCCCCTCTCCTCCCTCTCTCTTCTTTCTTTCTTTTCTTTCTTTTCACCCCGTCTCTATCTCCCTAACGCAAATCTAATTCCAGTGCATCATCGCTTCTTTTCCCTTCCTCTTCCTCTCCGCTCCTCTCGCCCTCCTCTCCTCTCCCTCTCCTCTCCGTCTCACTCTCCCTTATTCCTATTCCAGGCACCCCGTTATTCAATTCCGAGTTTTCCCAGCCTGTTGGAGGTATCGAGAAAGCGTGGCGTCGGCGAGTGGAATACTGATAGCTCTTCGGCCGCCGCGCTGTGGTGGGAAGGGGGGAGTGCGGTGTAGTGTGGTGTGTGGTAGAGTATATGTGGGAGTGGGGTGTGTTGTGTGGGGCAGTGGGTGTGGAGTTTGTTGGGTGTTTGTGTGAGTTTGTGTGGGAGTGGGAGTTTTGTTTGTGGGAGTGTGTGTGGAGTGGGGTGTGTTGTGGTGGGAGTTTGGTTTTGTTGTGGGAGTGGGGAGTTTGTTGTGGGTGTGGAGTGTGGTGTGGGAGTGGGGAGTGTGGTGTAGAGTGAGGAGTGGGTGTATTGATGTGCATAGTCTGGACACGGCAACATAATTTTTTTTTTGGGGGAGGGGGGTTTGTGGTCGGTATGCGGAAGAAGGCAGGTGAGATTGATGGGTGGGTGGTGTGGTGGACGGGTGGGTGGGTTGGTTATAAGGCTAAGGATTGTCAAGTAGACGGGCGAGTGGTTGAGCTATGCGTACAGGTTTTCTGTGTAATGTTGCTTGTTGCTGTTTTTATCATTATTGTCTGTGTTATTGTTGCTTATTGAATATAATATTTTATTTTTTAGTTTAATTATTTTTGTTGACTATCGTGTTTTCACGATTTTATACTTCAGAGAACATATCCCAGCAATAGTTTAGTATTTTGTTTCAGTGTTATGCTGAATTTGACTCATTCCTCTTACAGTTGCAAATGCAGATAACTTATTCCTCCTCTGTTGCCGCTGTAGTAAATTGTTACCGACGTTGTTCTATTAAGTGAATTTGAAAAACGTAATCGCGATTCTGTCCGCGGGAAGAGCGCTTATCCAAATAACTCTTCTTTATTTTTTTCATTTCATTTCTCTTCGGTTTTCGCCCCTTCCTCCTTCTCCCTTCTCTCTCCTTCTTCCTTCTTCCTTCTTTCTCTTTCCCGCTATCCCCTCCTCGACGGTGGTGGGAGGGGATAGAGGCGGAAAATAGGGCAAGACAAAATGGAAAATTAATGCGGCGAAGAAGGAGGAGGAGAAAAGCAAGGGTTAGCTCTGTGCGAGGAAGTTAGTTAACGCGTGTCATAAAAAAATTCTAGGAGGGAGGGAGGGGGGCAGAGGGTCAGAGAGGGAAGGGCCAGAGAGGCCTGGAAGGAGGGAGGAGCTAGGAGAGGTAGGGGAGGCTAGGATTGAAAAGAGGTTAGGAATGAAGGAGAGAGGATAGGAAATAAGAGAGGTCTATTAGAAAGGGGGAGACTAGAAGGGAAGGAGGGAGGCTAGGAGGGAAGAAGAGGGGCTGGGTAGGAAGGAGAGGGGGGGCTAGGAGTAGAGAGTGGGCTAGGGTGGGTAAGGGTGAGGAGCTATGGTGGGAGAGGGTGGGATAGGGTGAAAGAGTCTAGGATAATAAGGAGAGAATAGGGGGACTAAGGTAGGGTGGGAGAAGGAGTGTGCAAGGAAGTATAGTTTTGGTGTGGATAGGAGTGAAGGAGGGAAGTAATGGGTTTAAGGTCGTAGGAGGGAGGGAGGGAAATAAGGGAAGAGGAGGGTTGTGAGGTGTAATGAAGGAATAGACAAAGGTGTGTGAGGAAGAGGAAGAGGAAGGAGGAGGTTGTGAGTGAAATGTTCATGATGCTATCATTGTTGTGTTTTGTTTATCAGTGTTGATATTAGATTGTTTTTGTAATGTGTATATATTATGTCTTATTTTTGTTAGTTATTATTATTATTGTTAGTGTTATTGTTATTTATATTTGTTAACGTTACGTAACTATTGTTATTGTTTTTTTTAAATCGTTTTTTGTCATTATAGTTATAATATAATACTATAGTTGTGTGTTACATATATGAAAATTGATAGTTAAGTGCTGGCTGTGAAATCCTCGGAGGATCTCTTTAAAAGACACAGGACGCTCGATATGAACGTGGGAGAAAACAGGAACGTAAATTGGTATACACAGGTGCCTAGGACGGAGCACGGGGTCAGCTGGTGGAGACGGCAGGCTAGCGTCTCCAGCTGGTGTCAAGAGATTAGGGTTGCTGACGTTATTGCATTCCTTTCGTCTGCTTCGTCTGCGTTTGGTTTGTCCTTTAGTCTCTGTTTATGCCCTTTCGGCCTGTGATTGGTCGCTTGGTCTTTCGTCACGTCTCGTGTTTGTATCTCTATGTCACTTCTCTTTTCTCTCTCTCTCTCTCTCTCTCTTTGTCTCTCTGTCCTCTCTCTCTCTCTCTCTCTCCTCTCTCTCTCTCTCTCTCTCTCTCTCTCTCTCTCTCTCTCTCTCTCTCTCTCTCTCTCTCTCTCTCTCTCTCTCTCTCTGTCTCTCTCTCTCTCTCTCTTGTCTCTCTCTCTCTCTCTGCTCTTCTCTTCTCTCTCATCTCCTCTTCTTCTCTCTCTCTCTCTCTCTCTCTCTCTCTCTCTCTCTCTCTCTCTCTCTCTCTCTCTCTCTCTCTCTCTCTCTCTCCTCTGTCTCGTCTCTCTCTCTCTCTCTCTCTCTCTCCTCTCTCTCTCTCTCTCTCTCTCTCTCTCTCTCTCTCTCTCATCTCTCTCTCTCTCTCTTCTATATCATTTTTTTCTCTCTCCTCTCTCTCTCCCTCCTTCCCTCTCCCTCCCTTCTCCTCTCCCTCTGTCTCCTCTTCCTCTTTCTTCCCTCTCTTCATCTTTTCATTCCTCCCTAACCGCCTTCCCTCTCTCTCTCTCCTCTCTTTTTTTCTTTCTTATCTTTTTTTTTTTCCACACTTTAAAAAGCAATCCAAACATCGCCAGTTCTTCATCCACCGTAAGCAAATCGGGCCAAGTTGCGTATTAGCCCCGGTCGGAACACTTCTTTCGCCATCACGAAGAAGAGAAGAAAAAAAAAAAAAAAAAAAAAAAAAAACTTTCGAAACTGTTGCTTTTGCTCCGGCGAAAGTTGGCGCGGGAAACAAGAACTGAAATCTCCCGAAAAGTCGGGATTCCGGGATTATATTTTTTCCTTTTGGAATAGGATTTTTTTTTTTTTTTTTTTTTTTGGGGGGGGGAGGGTATTCGCTCGTTGGAATTGTCCTCGTTGTGTTCTGGCGTAACCGGAGGATATATAGAAAGGAATATATATTTATTCTTATTTTTATGGTTATGTTCCCGAAGCCTCCTCGTCCACTTTCTTCTTTTTTTTTTTTTTGTTCCTCTCCTCTTCCTCCTCTTCCTTTGAGTTCCCAATATCTCTTTGCCTTTCTCTCCCTTTCTCGTACCCTTTTACACCCTCTAGCCAGCCCTTCCTGATCTCCCTTTCCCTGACCCTTTTTTCCTTCTCCCTTCGTTAACCCTTCCTGACCCACTTCTTCAGCGTTTCGTGTTCCTTTCTTCCCCCTTCCTCCCTCCCTTTCTGTATCCAACTCTTCCTCCTCCTACTCTTTCCCCTCACCCTTCCACTCACCCTTCCCCCCCCCTTCCCTCACCCTCTCTCGCCACCCTTTCCCCACTTATGCGTCTTCCCTTCTTCCCCTTTCTCCTCACCCTTTTCCCTTCCCTCACCCCTTTCTCCCCCCCCCTCACCCTTTCTCCCCCCTTTTTCTCCCTTCCCTCCACCTTTCTCCCCTTCACCCCTTTCTCCCCTTTCCCCTTCCCTCACCCACCCTTCTCTCACCCTTCCCCCTCCCCTTCTCTCCTCCGGTACTTATTGCATTGCCTTCGACCTCGACGGCCCGACGACGGGAGTTTTTATGGCCATCTCCTGGAAGACTCTTCGAGGCTGGGGTGGGATTGGGTGGAGGGAGGATGGAGGGAGTGGGAGGTGTAGAGAGAGTGAGTGAGGAGGGTAATGGAGAGTGAGAGGAGGGGTAGGGGGAGGGAGGTGGGTGGGTAGGTGGAGGGGTGGGGAAGAGAGAGATGGGAGGGGTAGGGGAAGGGAGGGGTAGGGGAGAGTGAGGGGTGGGGTAGGGGGAGGGAGGGGGGAGAAGGGGAGAGGGGAGGGGGTAAGAGTCCTGCGGGAGCAACTCTTGGATTGAATCTCTTTGTGTTTTGGGGGTTTATGGTCCTCAGCCTGTTGGATCTGAGGGATTAGGGCGCCCGTTGCTTGGATCGGAATGGGACTCCAGCTGCTTGGGCGGGAAGAAGGCGGAACAAATCGTGTTTTTGTTGTTTTTGGTGACTTTTTTTGTTTTTTTGTTATTTTTGTTGTTTTTGTTGTCTTTTTGCTTTTCCAACTTCTGTTCCGAGGGCTTATGGATGAGGGTCGAGTCTCTGTTGGTGATGGAGCCGATTGCAAATGCGCTTGTACCCTTGCCCCCCCCTTCCCTCCTTCTTCCTTTTATCCGTGTAGGAGGTAAATATTAGGTAGAGTTTGTAATCAGTAGCGAGTCTTTTCATTCCCTTCGCTTTGTCTGTTTTCTTTCTCTCTTTTTCTCTCTCTCTCTCTCTCTCTCTCTCTCTCTCTCTCTCTCTCTCTCTCTCTCTCTCTCTCTCTCTCTCTCTCTCTCTCTCTCTCTCTCTCTCTCTCTCTCTCTCTCTCTCTCTCTCTCTTTCTTTTTTCTCTTTCTCTTTCTTCTTCTTTTTCTTCTTTTTCTCTCGCACTTCTTTCCTTCCATTCTTTTTCCGTTTTCCTTTTTTTTTCTTTTTCTCCCTCCCCTCCATCCCCCCCCCCCCTTGTTTCTCTCTCGTTCTCCTTCTCTCTGGGCCCTCTCCGTGTCTCTCCAGTCACAAGTGCTTGCTTTCATCTTCCTTTGTTGTTGTCGCTGGCGGATGGAATTATTCATTTTTGTTTTTGTTATTTTATTGACTTGTATTTTGTGTGGGCCGATGAAGAGGAGGGGGCGAGGGGGAGGGAGGGGGAGGGATGTCTGTTTGTGTGTTTGTTTTTGACGGTGGTGGTATTGTTTTGTGATTGTTAGGGTTATGATTATGATTATTGTTGTTTATTGTGTTGTTTGTTATTGTTGTTATTGTTATTGTTATTGTTATTATTATTTATTATTATCATATATATTTTATTATTATTATTATTATTATATTATTATTATATGCTTTTATTATTTTATTATTTTTATTATTGTTGTTGTTGTTTATATTGTATTATACTTCATTGCTATTCGCAATTATTGTGTGATTATTTCATCAACATTGTCATATTTTATCTACTCCCTTCTCTCTCTCTCTCTCTCTCTCTCTCTCTCTCTCTCTCTCTCTCTCTCTCTCTCTCATCTCTCTCTCTCTCTCTCTCTCTCTCTCTCTCTCTCTCTCTCTCTCTCTCTCTCTCTCTCTCTCTCTCTCTCTCTCTCTCTCTCTCGGAATTGAAAGACAGCGCCTTGGCTTTGCTTTGGATTTAGGATGCTCTGTCTTCCTTTTATGATCCTCGTTTTTTTATGGTCTCGGAGTTTGTTTATCGGACTTTTGATTATATTTTGTTATTATATTTGTTATTGTTATTACTTTGTTGTTGTTGTTATTGCTGTTGTATATTGCTTTTGCTATATGTTATTGCTGTTGTAATATATTTATTTATATTATTATTCTTATAATAATTTATCATTATTGTTATTATTAATATAATATTATTATTATAATATATTATAATTGTTTTATTATTATTATTATTATTATATTATTATGTCACTACTGCTACTACTACTAATACGCCATTTCCTATTTAATTACTTAGTTTTTTTTTCAAATGAATTCCAATACTAATTGTTGGAGCGGGCCCCGGGCAAGGCGGGTCCCCTTCAAACAGGCGCGGGGCCCAATTAGCACGCCGTGTATGACGCGCATGAACCGGCCGGGGCATGAAAAGGCATGGGATGAAAGGCGCTGAAGGACGT